TAAGTTTTTTATATGCTAGGCTGTCAAGCGATAAAATTTTAGAAGTTATTTCATTAGCGAATTGGATCGGGATATAAACGGTAGACAGGTTTGCTTAGCCTTGAAGTTGAATCGAGTTCACGTTATCTAAAGAGTTGACTTTATTCAAAAATAACTCTAGAATACTCCAGACTTCAGATCTGAAGCTTAAAGTTCACTGAAATTTTTTGAAACGCTGAGCTCAATGATCGCTTTTCACCATTGCTCCTATTGGCAGCTAAAACATGGCATCAGATTTTTCATTATTCATTCATTTAATATAGAAGATGCATGGTATAAGAAAGGAGGATACCGCATCTTGCACTTGTCAAGATATTAAGTTTTCTTTAAAACGTTTCGTTTTGGAATGATTAGCTTGCTTCAAAATCTTTTAATTAACAAAAAAAAATTTTTTTCTTTGTTGCATTGAATCAATTGTGAATAAAAATTCATTAATTGAGCTCCACTTTTTTATCATTAGCTTTAACTGTTCAATGTCAGATCTTACTTCTTGAATCATCGCTTCTTTAAGTTGAATTGCATTGGACCTGCAAAGCTGTTAGGTCTCATGCTTTGTCTGCTGCTCAAATAGCTTTTCGGCTGAGCACTCCTTTCGTTCGCAACAGCTGATACTGCATATGAAGCCTTGTAATTACCGAACCGACTGGGCGATTGTCCTACACTTCGTCCCATGAATTCTGGCGCTCGCGAAATCAACTCGTCAGTTTTATCCGACAAAAGCGAGCGACTCTGCATTCTAGCTCTGTATTTGTAATTAACCTTTCCTCCAATATCGCTGTTAGTTGTCGGTTCTATTATAACTTCTTTAGTGAAACTAGCTTGTGATTTTATATTCTGCTGTGAAAGGGGAATATTTCGATCTGGAATAAAGGGTGATTTGTCTCTGAACATTGACTTGAACGAAACCGGCGGTAAGTTTGTTTCATAATTTGTGCTTTCGGTTGGCAAAAACGACGACCTCGGTGGAAGCGGTGGTGCTCTTAAATCTCCCGAAAACTTTGATTCGAGAAAATTTGTTTCCAATTTTTGATTGCTAACCGGTCGAAACAACTTGGATGACGTAACCATAGGTTCGGCAATTGACCGAATCGATTCGGCTTGAGGCATTGATGGCCGACTAGGCACTACATCGCGGATTTTTTGGGCCGCTTCGTCTGACGATGTCTCTGATTCTTCGCTATCTGATTCTGTCGCACTTGTTGCTGACATTGACGTCTCGGCAACTTTTCTATTCATGCTCTCAGTTGATCGTAGTGTTTCTCTTGTAGTACCTGTTTCGGTCTCTGTCTTTGTCGGCTTAGAGGTCGTCGTGTTTTCAGATTGGCGAGGCGAGCTTTGATTTGAGGATTGCTTGCTTCTTGGACTTTTTACTTCAATTGTATCTGCGGTCACAAAAAATGATTTTTGAAGTTTTGTCAAGTTTTAGATGGGTTTGCAAATAGATAAAAGTGAAATTGGATGAGGTGGTTTGTTTAATTTTTACACAGTTTATTTAAATTGTTATATTAGTTATTTCAGACCTTTCACTTTGACCCGGACAGTGTTTTGAAATGTTTTTTATTTTGTCAGAGTACCGTCTGAATAATGTTTGGTTTACAATCACATTCTACGCCCATTGATTTTTACTCGGATTTTACGTGATATTTTAGCGACAATTGGTAACAAGCGACAATTCGTAACAGTAGATTAAGCGGGGCGAACACTGATTCACGCGCAGTATTCCCCTCATGCCGAATGTCTTGTTCCGAACTGTCGCCTGTTCCGAATTGCCGCCCTACCATAACGAGTAGCCATAACGATAAACGCGATGATCTTAAATTTTGACAAAGTTTGCATAGGAGCAATGAACTTATGACCCCGAAAAATTTTGGTGCTTTTTTGTACCATGATCTGTCTCTGTGCCCCTCTCGCTTTCAGAAGTTCCCGCTAGTCTGAGAGGGACCACTGCCGACCACTCCACTTCCCTGGTCTCGTCTTCAGTCGCCATTCTTTCGGCCCTTTCCCTTGACACAAACTGATTGTCGTCTTCTTCCAATGTCTCCTCATCGTCGACCTCGTAAGATCTGTTTGCTCTTGAAGGAATCCCAGCTTCGGATTTAATGCTATCGTCCGAGATCAATGAGGACTCTACACAGAATTCAAATTTTAAAAACTACTTTATAACTACAACATCATGGCTAAACTAATATCATATAGCTATAAGAGTACCGCATAGATTCTGTATTTCTCTTGATTACTTGTAAAATCGCACTATTGAGAAAATCTGATGCAAAAAAGATAAAAAGAATCCATTGCGCGTTGCCTATAATAGGTTGCCTTTCGAGATGATAAATAGCGGTAAAATGGTTGCCTTGGCCGAAGTAGAACACTGATTTGATCAGTTCGGCTAGGTGGTCATTCGGCTGAGTGGTTGTGAGTTGGCGTGTGTTGAGCAGGTGTCTATATAGACAGAAGTAGAGCAACTTGAACTGGAAGAAGGAAGATACCATTCTGAAACTGCGCGCCCACCGCAAGTCCGCCACACACCCTTTCACGTCCACGAATATATTCCACTAAACAGTTTCCAAAACAAAACGATGAAAGTGACAATCTTTTATAACCGGGCAATCATAATAAATTGTTTTCAGGCTTACAAACAGAAAAAGACAATGTTTTGTAGCAATTATTACCAAGAATCAAAACTGAGAGAAAATCATTTGACCAAATGTTCCTTTTTCGAACATCTCAGTTTAATTTCAAAACAATTTCAAAGCAAATTGTCCAGTATTTAAAGTATATATCGGCTGAGAATAAACTTTAAAAAAATTTCGCACTGAGATGTTCGAAAAAGGACCATTTGGTCAAATGATGTTCTCTCAGTTTTGATTCTTGGTAATAATTTCTACAAAACATTGTCTTTTTCTGTTTGTAAGCCTGAAAACAATTTACTATGATTGCCCGGTTATAAAAGATTTTTGTAAGCTTTCACTTCAGCTACAGCTAAAAAAGTTGAAAAATCAAAAATTCGCCCTACAAATGACGCAAAAGTAGACAGGTTTCGCACTGTTGAGGACAAGCAAAAAAAATTGTTGTTGAAAGCTTACAATACACTGTGATTTCAGTTTATACTCAAAAACACTACCGCCAAATCAGCTGAGTATAAGATTTGCGAAACCATGGTTTCTCCATTATTAAATTGTCCAGTATTAACTATAGTAGATGAGAAATCTAAGAATGTTTCTTTAAAGTCAATCTGATGGTACTTTTTCTTAATTCCAATCTTTTAAATGATAATTTTGTTGAGAAAAATTGCAAAAAATATGGTTATTAACCATCATAGCACCGCCTCGAGAGGTCACTGTTAGGCTAGCGGCTAGTAATAAGCGGCTAGTAAACAAATTTTGTCAGTTTCGGAGGGATATCAATGCCAAAAAAAATCAGGATAAAAAAAAGACTAGGAACATGTCTTTCACTTGGAAACGAAACCTACAAACCTGTCGTTTTACTTTGGGAAAATTTCAAATTTACAAAAAAAAATAAAAACTCTAAAAGAGCCATCAGAATCATCTTAATTGTTCCGGCCATTTGAAAAATGGGGAGGAACTTTGTATTCGGGTATTTTAGTTTTTTTTCTTTTTGTTTTCCACGCAAAATCAAGTACCACAAATAATTATCGGAATGAGTCGAAATATATTATTTTAAAGCCCTTTCAATCTTCATTCGAACAACATTTTAAAATTTCAAACGTTTTTTTTACAGTATCGAGAAAAACCGGTTAGAAAATTTTTGTTTTGTCTAATTTCGAACTAATATGGTGTGAGCGTGCAGGCTTAGAATAGCTTATTTAAGCTTACTTTAAACCGTAAAAACTTAATTGTACTCAAATAAAAATACTTTTTGTAACTTTTTAGCGCCATTTTGTAAACAAAGGTTAAGAATTCCAAAAATTTTTGCAAAAACTTAGAAATTTAAAAAAAAAATTTTTAATGGTCTTTTCGTTTTTTTAATCATTTTTCTTCAAAAACTGTTTTCCGAATGGCCTTTTTACTATGACTGTCAAATACGCCTACGTTCTTTATTTCAATTCAGTTCTCTTTATCACATCATGCAGGAAAAAAAATGACACTAATTTGAAAAAAAGGTAACCGCCTATCCTTGTTTATTTTAATTTCTCTTTCTTAATTGCGTCAAAACAAGTTTGACAATTGTTCACTTTCGTGCATGTAGTTTTGGAAAAATGGTTTTGTAAGTTTTGGTTCCGAATCATTTAGCTCACTTCTCTTACAATGAAGACTACTCAAAATTAAACTTTTGTCAAGGGAAGTTTTTGTGAAGGCTTCGAGTTTTTTTCTTAACACTCAAGTTTTCTTTTGATTTGTTTGTAAGCAATCTGTTTTTTTTACTTTTCTTGTCAATTATTCATCAATATCATTATAAGATTTGACTTAATTATGCTAATAACAGTTCTTATCTTGTTCTCTTCTTAAATTTTCAGCCATTGGTTTACAAATCTCATACACGTGAAGTTCAAACATAGAGCAAAAACCATAATTTTTCTTTATTGAACGTACATCATAATACTTGCTCTTGTGAAAAATATTCTGAGGGTGTAATTTTGTTGAGCCTTCAATTTTCATAAACTTTGACCGAAAAGTTCTTAAATTTTGACCGCTTGCGTTCCCCCCTTCAAAATTAGTCAAATTGGCGCCAAAGGCGCCTTTAGAAAAATTTTGAGGTTTTGGAAAAATTTGGCAATCAGAATTGAGAGGGACCCCCCTCCCTCGGCACGCTACTGGTATTAGGTTGAAAAACTCAGTGTAATAGCTGGGTTCAAATCTCAAGTACCTCTGCCTCTTTGATTAGTCTGTACAAGGCCACGAAAAAGCCACTCAATTTAGTGCCAGTCCTGCAGTGGGCTAGGAACTTGGTCTCATCTCTGCTTGTAAGAAAATGATCTTTCACCAGTTTGTCCAAGATCTTTATCTGGTGCAAGATGAAATCCAGTGAGTCGATGGTGATGTTCTTGGTCTCCAGCGCTATAAATCAACATAATAGGAAGGGCTAGGCTTTAAACAAATGTTAAGATAAAACAAAATGCCCAGTTTAGTAGAGCATGATTTGCGATTAAAAATAGTGCAAAATATTCAGCAAAAAGTGAAATCTTTTTAATGATTATTTTTCCAATTTCCTACTGTTGTTAGTGTGTGTGGGTGGGGGGGGGTGTGGTAGGTTTGGGAGGAGATACTAAAACATAGTTTCTAACAAAATATCCTAAAAATGAGGCCCGGGCTCGGTTTCAACTCTGAACATACAACTAAAGTTTTTCCCACTTCGTGGTCGGAACAACAATTTTCTGTTAGCTTGTCATACCGCTACTGCAGTAGCAGTATTTGTCTATGTATGCACAACCAACCTATGGTGCTTACTCATTACTTTTACGGTATGCTCAAGGTCATAATGAAAGATGACATTGAGAATCAGTGAGAGATCAGAGTTCGTAACACTGATCTAGCTCTCAGTAACAAAAGAAAACAAAAAGAATAAGAAAACCTAAATTCAATATTCCATATACAGTATTGAATTACACCTTGTTTTCAACCGATATCGCAACGCATATCACATGGCGCAGCCAGCAGGATTCGCAGCTCAAGATAACAGAACGGATATGGGAATTCCGGTATTTTGGGCGTCAGCGAATCTAGACCCTCCGTGGCAATTCAAAATCTGGTTCGAACAATTTCTCATGGCGGTTACGGTCAGAGAAAATGTGAACATAGAGATCATTTTGGAAGAACCAAAAGACATATTAGAGGAACCACCACCACGCCCATAAACACCCAGAGACGGAGAGAATGAAGATGCGAGGAACGCTAGGATTCTCAGAGATAAGCTAGCTATAGATAGAATAGTATTGGAGAACGAAGAGAGAAAGACAAGAGGCCCACGAGTCGGACACAATGTCTTCTACAACGAAGTACAAAAGAAATTGGTGTCCAGATTATTTTTGTCTTTGGGCACAGAGGGAAAGAAGAGATTCCTACAAAAGAACCCGCATGCTGAAATATCGAAAATGACGTTCAGGGAAATTACAGATTTGGCAGAAGTCTCGTTTCAAAAGGTAAAATGTGTAACATACGAAAGATATAAGCTATTTACGAGAATGCAAGAATCTGGAGAATCTCTGGAATTATTTCACGCAGCGTTAACTGCACAAGCAGCCCGATCAGAACTGGGAGCATTGGAAAATGAAATAGTCCGAGATCTGTTCATTTCAAAAATGAAAAACATGACATTGCAGGACACGCTGACATTCGAGACTCTAGACCCGGAAGAGGTTCTGAAAAGGGCTATAAAATTCGAACATAGCAAGTTAACCACAATGGCGTTTCAAAAGACTAATGCTGCGGCGACAGGGGGATCAAGTAGCAATTACACCTCGGGTGTGAGAATTAAACAAGAACCTGTAATGGCAGTTCGAAATATGTCGGGGACGAACAAGACTCCAAACAGAAGGGAATCGAAAAAAAGACAAAACAATAACAAGAATCAAAACATGAAAACGAAACCATGTAATAGACGTGGAAGGACGTTTGACCAGGGATACCTGAAAAATTGCCCAGCAATGGGGAAAACCTGTAAACACTGTGGTAAACCCAATCATTTCGCTAAAATGTGCAGATCCCAACAAGTAAGTGAGGTTGCGGAAGACTCGGAAGGATCGGTAGAGGAATGCGATCAGATAAGTGAAAGTGTTGGGTCATGTAGTGAATTTGAAGTTATCTCGGTACAAACCTATCAACCGGAAAACGAGAGAGTTTCAAAATATGTGAAAGATCGAATCAATGAAATGAGGAACAAATCAAACGGAAAAATGTTACGAGTTCAGAAAATAGATTCGATTCTCGCGATCCAACATTGAATCGTGTAAAATCACTAAAGGCCATGGTACGAATAAATAACCAAATAATTCAATTAACAGTGGACACAGGAAGTCCAGTTTCATTCCTCAACTGGGCAACAACGAAGGAAATTATGGAAAAATCAAACAAAGTAAGATTCATTCCGTCAGACAAACTGAATTTACAAACCAAATTCGTGGACTACAACAAACAACCGATCAGTATACTGGGAGCCCTAAAGACCAACCTGAGGTCAGCGGGCTGGGAGGTAAAAGGCGCCACCTTTCTGGTATCAGAACGAAAGACCAGATGTATCATGGGACTAGACTTGCAAGGACAAGTGGGAATAGTTACTACACAAAAACCAGCGCCCAAGGAACTCACCAGGTTTGACGTGCTCATGTGCGAGCATTCAGAAGGTTGGAAAGGAAAATTTTTCACTCAATTTAAAAACTTATTTGAAAGACAAGGTATTTCGAAAAATCACATTGTCAGTTCAAAATTTAAATATCCATTAAGTCCGATTCAAGAAAAGGGGAGAAGAATCCCGATTCATATACAAGATAAAGTCGAAAAAGAAATCGAGAAGTTGTTGACAGAAGGTCATATAACAAAACTCGATAAATGTACAAGTGATTGCTTTATCGCTCCGATTGTGATAACAGTAAAGAAAGACGATTCAATAAAATTGGCAATGGACACGAAACCAATCAATAGACAATTGTTCAAAAATAAATACCAAATGCCGAATGTAGATGAACTCATTGATGGGGTAAGCCAGATTGTGGCTGAAAACAAAAAGGGTACGCTATATTTTTCGGTGTTAGATTTAAAATATGCGTACAGTCAATTAAAATTGGCTGCTGATACAGCTAGACAATACAACTTCAACATTGTGAGTGGAAAAGCAACTGGAACCTACAGATTCTTGACAGGGCTCTACGGTTTAGCAGATATGCCAGCTGAATTTCGAAAGACCATGGATAGAACCATCAACCACGCTTAAAATGCGTTCCGTTTTCTGGATGACATACTAATTGTGTCAAAGAGAAGTGAAATTGAACATGGAAACTTGGTAGAAGAAGTATCAAAAAAATTGGATGCGGAAAATTTGGCATTGAAACTATCAAAATGCGAATTTTTCAAACAAGAAGTGAATTGGTTGGGTCATCATCTCTCAGAAGCGGGGGTTAAACCAAAAATCACTAAAACGGAAGCGGTAGTAAATTTGAACCCGCCGAAATTGCTTAAACAGCTAAGGTAATTCCTGGGAAGTATAAATCACTTAGCTAAATTTATACCTAACGCAGCAAGTCTGACTGAAAAATTGAGACCACTTCTAAAAGAAGAGAATCAAAAGAAAAAGTTAAAAAACATGAAACTCCCGGTAAAAAAATGTGAGTGGGGGGATGAACACACGGTAGTATTTGATGCTATAAAAGAAGCTGTGGCAAGTATAATAAAGGTACATTATTACGATGCGACCCGAGAAACACGAGTTAAATGCGATGCTAGCCATGATGGGCTAGGGGCTACTTTAGAACAACAAAATGATGAAGGCCTGTGGGTCCCAATTTCATTCGCATCCCGATACCTAAATGCCCAAGAAAAAAAATATTCAACAAATGAATTGGAGTTATTGGCAGTTGTTTGGGCAGTAGATAGATATAAACACTACCTCTTGGGAAAACCATTTACCATTGCAACTGATCATAAAGCACTTACAACAGCATTGGATGGTAACAAATCGAACAAGACCAACCAATCACGTTTAACCCGGTGGGTTGACCGGTTACTGCCATATCAGTTCAAAATAGTTCACATTCCGGGGAGGGACATGGGTATAGTTGATTATTTATCGCGTGATCCTTTCAATGATCCCTGGCCCGAATCAGAATTAGACGAAAAGTTTGTAGTAGCGACAATAAACTCCTTTCATGAAACGTTCGACTGCTGGAACAGTAGGCTTAAAGAAACTGGGTCGCTCAACCGGAACGAAAACGTTCTAGAATGTTCTAGAAGGAATGCAAAGAAACAGTCATCAAGTAATGGTTGCTATAGCAACCAAAACGGTCAAAAACGAACAAAGCTCGACCGGAACGAGAGAAAACAGTTTTCACGACTGCAAAAACAGCTAAACACAGCAGTTCAACATAAAGAGATCACTTTTTCGTCAAATCAACCCAACAAACAGTCAGTCTTAAATAATTCCAAAATCGTAAAACAACCAGTACCAGAAATTAAAAAAAAAAAAGACTCAAGGATCGAGATGTCAGAAAACAGATCATACGACTGGTGGTCGGCCTCACCACAAGATTGGCGAAATGAGGAACGCGAAGAGAGTCTAATGGATCCAAAATGGAACCGCTCACTATCCAACACAAACGAACTTTCGGAAGAGGAGGGGATCACAGAGACAGTTCAGCGTACAAGGAAAATAATTAGAGGGGCCGGAAAAACAGAGATAGCTCCGACAGTGAAACACGACATGCATCACGGGTGAAATGGCAGCTTGAACCGGATCAACAAAGAGAAGCAGATCAAAGACTACTCTCATTGTGGCAACTAATAGGCGGAGAAGACAATATACGGGAAAATAGAGAACTGGTGGCACACACCCAAGAAGTCAAGGACAGATCGGAACATGAATCGAGTTCAGCGTTGACTAAACCAATCGCATCGGCGGAACGGAAACTCAGTGAGGTGCAGGTAATAGAGATGGACCTGACGACTACAGAAGAGGCGGAGAGTGAAGAAGAAGTGTGCTCGATAGAACCGCCGAAGGGACTGGGAAAAACAAAACTGCAAAAGCAGCAACAAGTAGAGACCCTGGACAATTTAGCAAAACTGTTCGACAAAAGTTTCCTAGCAGAATTGACCACAGAAGACACGTGGATGGACCGCCTCAGACGAGTGATAGAAAGAGGGGACAAACAAGGGTTTGAATTAATGGGACCTTATACGAATCCGTTGTGGTCATAGATGGCAGTTCAGGACGACTGCATCTTGGTGAATAACCGGCTAGCAGTCCCAGTACAACTAAGACAAGCTGTTCTAAAAAGAATACATCGAGGGCATCCAGGCCAAGAGGCTATGCTGGGAGCAGCGCAATACCTGTGGTGGCCACACATGAATAAGGACATTGTGAATCTGGCAGAGGAGTGCCGTAGCTGTACCAGATATGGTAAGAATGTAAAATATCTTATTTCGAAAAATACGTCAAAACCACTGCCACTGCTCACGCAGCCGGGACAGGAAGTACAATTAGATTACGCGGGGCCCATAGAAAACCAAAAAGGAAAAAAAATCTACCTTTTAGTAGCGATAGATCGATTCTCAAAATTTCCATCAGTGAAGGTTACGAAATCTACAAGTGGGAAGTGCGCAGTAAAATTCTTGATATCATATATCGACACGCATGGAGTTCCTGAATCAATTCGTTCGGACCAATTTTCAGGTTTTAAGGGAAAAACGCTAAAAAAAATTCTGTTCGGAACTCAATATCGAGCAAAAATTCTGTCCGGTGGGGGACCACAGAGGTTGTGGTTTGGTCGAACGTACAATCCAAACTATAAAAAGAAGACTGGGGGTGATGATGCTCGAAGAAAATAATAAATCAATCAAATTATGTCTTAGTACTATAATGAGAGATTTACGGTGGAACAAGCAGAAAACCATTCAAGTATCTCCGTTTCAAGCACATTTTTGCAGACTACCAAAAACGGAATTTAAAATTGTGAGGGATAGGTTTTTAAATGATTCTGACTATTTAGACAAACAACACTTGGAACGCTCAGCACTGACGGCTTCTCAATTGAAACGTAGAATTGATCAGTCGAGAGAGAACCTCAAAATAGTACGCAAGGGACAACTCAGTAGGGGTACAAGCCCACTGCACAAGCAGCAGTTAACATCGGACAGAGACAAAGAAAGGGCCAAAGCACTAAAGGAGTTGTTGGAGGCGAACGCCCGATGGAACAACGAGAGAAGAGATGCGGCTAAAAACGATATCAGAAAATTAGTGGATGAGACAGGACTACTCAATCCCGATCTTCGAAAGGAGATGATTTATTCTTGGGAGAAAGGATTTGTGGAGGACAAGGTGGAAAATCAATGTAAATCACCACCTAAAACAATACTCAGAAAGGACCCACTAAGAAAAAGCGGACAAGCATTAACCAGACAACTAAAAGGGAAAATTGCTTTTGAAACAGACTCAACAATCAAGACGTCCACTGGCTCGATTTATAGGAAATCGGATATTGCACAATCAAAAACGGTGCTGACACAAGAAAAACAACGAAGCACGAGTAAAAGTCCATCGGTGGAACCTACAAAAAAGTTTAAGAGGATCAGTTCCCCAGAACTACTCGAGGAGCTGGGATCAGATGAAGAACTACAAGAAGAAATGGAGATCGCAGATGCGATGAATTCCATAGAGCGTTTTCAAAAGAAACAAGCAATAGTGACTTCAAAAGACACAGAAGCAGGGGGAGGTCTGAACTTGGCAGTCAAAAGAGCAAAACCCAATTTGGCGGGCCCAAAATCATCTATAGAGGAAAACGACACCAAGAAGTCGGAAAAGAACGGGAAAGAAAAGAAAAATCGAAACAAGCTGCAACAGGGGACAAGCCAAAATGCGACGGCAGTCAACCCGGAACAAGAGCAATCGACATCAAGGCCGGAAAAATTAGACACCAAAAATCAGTCAAGTTCTACACCGAAACCAAAACAGTGGTCGAAATTGAAATGTATTGACACCCACAATCCCCTAGAGGACATAGTCGACACATTCCACAATCGCAATTTGGCACCGTCCGAGTGGGAAAAGTATGCAGACCAATTGCTAAAAAGAGGAGTACAGCGAGTTGCAGACGAAATCCGAGAAAATCCCCAACAAATTTCGGAAAAAGATACAACTTTCGAACCACCACAACGATTTTCGGACGAGTCGGGTACTGAAGAGTCGGGTATCAGACGAAGCTCCAGGCAAACGAAAAACAAAGAACCTAAACGCTTTGGAGACCCGATAAAACATTCAATTAAGAGGATATCAGAAAATCTCACAGGGGGAGGACTCCTGAAGGAAGCACTTAAGGAATACAGAAATCAACTAAGAGACTTCAAGGATCGAAGCGATAGACCATTGGAATCAAAAGTGAGACGACTCGAAAGACACCTCTTCATGCGAAAATTTGGGTATGCTACACTAGACGATGGGGTTGAATGGAACCCGAGTTGGGAAATAGAGTTGGAAGAAAACTGAGAATTCCATAAACTAAACCGTCAATTAACCAAGAGAATTTCCTATGAACTGAGTACATTGAACTCTTTTTAAATAAATTATCCTACTTACGTTGTATAATTTATTTCTTCCACCGAGGGGGGTGTGTCATACCGCTACTGCAGTAGCAGTATTTGTCTATGTATGCACAACCAACCTATGGTGCTTACTCATTACTTTTATGGTATGCTCAAGGTCATAATGAGTGATGACATTGAGAATCAGTGAGAGATCAGAGTTCGTAACACTGATCTAGCTCTCAGTAACAAAAGAAAACAAAAAGAAAAAGAAAACCTAAATTCAATATTCCAAATACAGTATTGAATTACAACTTGTTTTCAACCGATATCGCAACGCATATCACATAGCTTTAGTGTCGTAACAAAAAGTTATGTTTGCACTATTCCTCGAAGAAATTGTAAAATTTGAACTTGTTAAGATAAAGGATGTAAATTTAGTTCTCTCAAAAAATTGAATACTGCACCTGTCAAATCAACATTGAACTGAATGACTCTTCTTTTCACAGCGAAGTTATCACGCTTTTTCAAAATCAGTTCACGACAATTCTCCCCTACTCGCTGCCAAGACTTATTCCGAATATGAAAATCCTCGACTACTATATACTCATCTTCCTCTTGGAAGTCGGGGTAGTATTTAAAAGACGCTTTTGGGTCATTTTTATTCTTGTTTTGACCAGTCAGCATCAGGTTTTCCTCTTCCTCAGTGTAAATTCGGACTACTATAAGTATGATTTGGTCGTATATCACGTGAAGGAAATCGTTAACAGTAGATGTCATAGGGTCTAAAAACAATTTAGTATCAGAACCAGCATCATAATCAGGGAGAAAAATCTGAGCTCGAATTGAAAAAATAGCTTTCCAAAAAAATCTGACAAAATACTTTCGAGAATTTTGTCAGATTACGTGGACAGTCCACGCAACTGTCCACGCAAAAATCTGACAAAATACTTTCGGGAATTTTGTATGTTTTTGTTTTTTACTCTCAAAACACTTTTTTCCAGAGAAACTGAGTTAGGACCGAAGTGTATAACTCATAGAGTAATTTCGGATAGGGTACACCGTCTGCTCGTCACGCTATCTTATTTTCGGCCGGATAGATTCGTGCAACTTCTTAGTCTAATACCAATCCTAATCTTACTCTTATACTATCTAGTCTCAGGTTGTTTAACTAGTCTCTGCTAGGCTCAATAGATCTAGGGTATACTGGTTTATTGCGGTTGCTGAAGTCTTCTTGGAGAGTCAACTAATGTCTAAGTTAAATTCAAATCTCTCTGGTGCTGAAATTACAAGTAATTTCAGCACTTACAAATAAGTGGGTTGTTAGTTAGATGGATCATGATTGGTTAATATTAAATACTTTACAGTGGTAAAATATCTAATTTATCCAATCATAAAATGTAGTTTAGATCAGGTTCCACCCATCCGGGTTTTACAGAGTTTTTTAGAATAGTCTTTCTGCAATTCAAAGGATGGATGATGGACGTTGGTATTTGGCGAACATCTTATTTCTTCTGGGTTTTCTTATTAGAGAAGTCCCAGATTCAATCGTTGTGTCTTCTCAAGACAACGACTGGGTTTTCGCAACAAACTCAAATCTGATTTCAGAATGGTTGGCTATGTCAGGTTTTTCTGTTTCATTGATGAGAACTTCTTTGTGTTTGATCTTGTCTGGGAATGGCGTGGAGATTGTGCGTGGAGGGGATGCCTGGTTACTCGGATCTGTACGTATACTTGAACATCGAGGTGGTCATTGGTCTAGTTCAATGAAGTCCTTTTCTGCGAAGTCAAGTCGTACTCTAAATCCTTTGAGTTGTGATTGTGGGCGGCATATTGATTGTGGTTGGCCATTCTTTTTCGAGTGTAATGGGTTCATTTTGTCTTTGGATGTTCGTTTTTGCTGTTGTATGCTGATCTATATATTGCATAATATAATTTACATTTTATAAAACTTTTATTAGCTTAATGTTTTTTAATAATGATTTTGGTTAGTTGTTTTCACAAAAGCTTTTTGTTTTAGTTCAGTTATTTTGAAGAGTTACTCACCCTTGAGTAGCTCTTATTAAAAATAGGAGTGTGTGTCACAAAGCGTGGATGTAGCGCGGTGGGTTAGGCCGGCTATAGAACATGCTCAGGACGTCCTCTTCTGGTGGGTTAGGCCAGGAGTGGGAGTATGATAGCATGCGGTTTTTGTGAGAGGTCCTGTTATGTGACAACGTTTTATGTTGGGTTTGTTGTGGTTTTTCTTATGTTTTGTTGGTTGTGTTCTTTTTTCAAAAATCAATATGTTTGTGGTATGGGTTTGTCTTTCGACTTTTTTGTGTTTTATTATTTCTTTCTTAGACTTTATAATAGTCTTCAAAAGAATAAATTATCCAGTTTTAAACTGGGTTAATCCGGTTTGGGTACCGTTGGTTTCCTTTTCTTAGTCATGCTGTTATGCTATGTGTTGTGGTGTTTAGTAAGCTGCATTGGTTAGTTTTGTTTAGTATATAATTCCTTTCCAACCGGGTTAAAGGAAAGTTTGAAACTTGTTATCGTGTGTTAGAGTTGTTGAGTGTGAAAGCTTGAAACTGAAATTCATTATTTAAACAATTCTTCGTGGGCGAGCTGTGCGAATTTGGATAGAATTCTTGTGCGAGTGAATGAAAATATCAAAAGGTTAGTACTGCATTTGCTTCTTATTAATTTACTTCATAGAATTTCAATTTTACTGCTAGTTGTTGGGGAAAATTAAGTTACAAATTTTCATCATTATTAGATTTACTGCATTTGGGAAAAAATTTATAAATTAAATTATTGCATTGGTATTATTTTTATTTAATTATTTGGTGGAAAAAATTAATAGAGTTTTAAACAGTTTGAAGAAGTTTCCAATTTTCATTTTCTTTTGTGAATTTTTCAGATGATCGTTGGATGAAGGCTAAAATTCTAATGAAGACATGAATAAAGAATGGTTAGTTTCTAATTTTAATAACTAGTTACTAATATGTATAGTTCATACTTACCTGTTAGTCGTCGGGGAAGAAACCGTGGGGGAAGATGTCGTGGATGAGATCTGAAGTTGTTAGTAATTTAGCTAAGATGCGGATGATATTTTTAGTTTGAAGCAGTGGCCAAAGCAATTGAAGTGCTTTAATGGTGGTTAGTTCTTCAGTGCCAACTGCAAACTCATAAGGTGTGTTTTGGATTAGATTATATAATTTGTGATTGAATTTAGTGTTGTGGATGAATTCTAAAATGGGGATTTCTATAGGTTGAACAAATTCGTGTGGGAGAAGAAAGGGTCGGGATTCTTCTGCGTTGAAGGTCTTGGTGATGGGACAAAAAATATACATTTGGGTTATGGGATCATAATTTCGAAGAATACCATGAAGGTTAGTATCTTTAATGCAATATGTGAAGTTAAGAAAGAATGGTGAGGTGTATTTGGAATTGATGAATTGAAAACGGTGGTGTGGTTGTCTGGAGGGAGTGTGTAGGTCGAAGTGATTTTGGATAAAACGATAATATGTATATGTGTGAGTTTGTTTAGTGCGCAACATAATATCGTGTGAGCAGTGCAAATCTCTTTCATGTGGTGCAAGGAAATGAAAGGTTAGTGGAAATATTTGGAAGCGTTCTTTAAAACTTTCGTAAGCTTGTGTGTCTGTTAGTGCTTCTGAAATGATGTGGTCAAATTTGCGGTCAAAGATATTGAGTGTAAATACATATGGTGTTTTAATGAAAAATTTTTCTGTGATTTGTGGGTTAGCGAAGCGATCGTCGTCTAAGAATTGATCTTGGTTAGTTCTGATGATGTTATGATCGTAATATTCTAGCGTATATTCGTTAGCTCGGGGTGCAGTGTATGTTTTTAGTGATTTTTTATATCCGATGTAAGTAAATTGTCTAGGTGTTAGTGGTGTAGTGAGTCGATATAGCATGTCCTTATTTCGTTCTATATCGATGTGAGTGTTAGATAAAGGTAAGCAAAGGGGATTAGTAAAATGATAATATGAGGTCCAAGGAAGGGTAGGCATTAAAACGTGTTCGTCTACAAAGTTACGTGTCTCGTTAGTGTCGTGAGGGGTGTTTAAGGTATATTGTGGAAATGAGGGTAAGGTGATAGCTAAAAATTCTTTTGTATTAGTGTGATTTGGGTGATTTATATATTCACGGGCTGTTCCTGGTTTTGCTGGGAAAGGATGGTTGGGGAACTTTTTTTTAAAAGTGCGGTAAGCCTTATTAGTGCTGAGTGAAGATTCAGTAGATGTGGATGATGGTGCTAATGATTCGGTATAAATTGAAGAGGGTGTAGGGGTAGGAGGGTTGGATGAATCTATTGTGGATGAAATTTGGTTTATGGTGGGGGTATCAAGGTGGTAGGGTTGTTGTTGTAATGTAATAAAATTATCTAGTTCTGGGGAGATTTGGGGGGTATCTGGAGAATTGGATGATCGGTCTGAATGATGTGAAGAATAGGTTGGAGTGACTTGGGAAGCATAAGAGGGTGTAGAATTGGTGGAGACAGGGTTATTTGGTGTCATTGGTTGAAAAGGGGGTTGGGAAAAAATTGAGGGGTTGGTGTGAAAATTATTGGATGGAGATGGTTCAGAGTCGGCAAATTCATCGGGGGTTTCAATATTCGGGTTATTGAGTTGTGATGTGGAGTATAAAACTGAGATGTGTGAATTAGTATCGGAATTCATGCCTGATGTTACATTACTGGTTGGGAAATCGGGTGGCGGGAAAGCAAAAAGTGGTATTATTGTAATTGGAGTAGTGAGGTTGGTTGGGTGGGAATTTGAACGGTGTAGGGATCCAAGTTGTCGGCTCATCGTGGGCTAAAAAAATTATTATTTTGAGACTGAAAAGCGGTGGTATGGGGTTGTTCTATAATTTGTTCATAAGTATTTTCATCTTGTGAGTGGCGTGTCATTATATGTTGGATGGGACTTTGTGATATGGTTGGTCTAAAATTTGGATTATGTGTTATTGCTAAGTTTCGAAAATTACGTGGGACTAGGGATAATGGATGGTTATGTGGTAGGGGTGGTAACTGTGGTGCTGTTGGCGTTGTGTCTACATTGTTATGTTCTTCGTCGTATGTGTTCTGTCTTGTTGCTATTTTTGTGTTGTATTCTTTTATTTGTGCATCTAAAAGAATTTTGTTTATTGATGTAGGAAAAATTCCAAAAAATCCTGCAAATAGTATGCGTGCTACACTTGCTTGTCTATTGACTTGTGTGTGTATAGCACATGTGTTATAGATTCCTTTTAAGAGTGAAAAAAGAAATCCAATAAAGTTAAACATTGCGTATAAAATAGTCAGTTTTTCTAAGATATAGTAGGGCCATCCTAGAAAATCAAGAATTTCATTCTTGAGTGTAACAAAGCTAAAAATATTGATAGGTGATATATCTTGGGGACGGTATTTTTCACCTTTTAGATATATATAATCTTTAATGTCTTTAAAATATCCGCTATAGTCTTGCGTATAGATGTCTGCAAATCCTGCGGTTTCGGCAAGTTTGCGTAAGTTTTGGTCAATTGATTGTCTTTGTATTGTGTCCATTTGTGTTAATAATTCCTGGAATTGTTGTGTTCTAATGTGATGTTGAATATCTGATTTTGAGTATATTCCTATTGATTGTAAGTCTATATTTGGGTTTCGAGCGATAGCGCGAATGCTTTCTGGTGAAAATTTTTTGAGTGATTGCATTAATGTGGGATATGGGGTGAGAAGGTAATATTTATCTTCATCAGGGTTTATTTGTACTACATTGTGGCTATTTTCTGATCC